AAATATGTTATAATTTTTGTTTCAATAAATAATTGTTATAATCCAATCTCCCGCTAACTTAGTTACAAGTTAATAGTTGTAATTTACGAATAATATTAAGGCGTGGTGCAGCAAATAAATTGCAAAATTAAAGACCGGTGTCTTGATACGCATATAGCTATGGGGCTAAAAACTAGGTGCACTAAACAAGAAAGGCTGGACTACCACGCCCTTACAAGAGCAAGATACTTATAACCTTTAATTGCCGGTTTTCTTACATTTCATAAAAATAACTGAACAAATCTTATACTTTGTAGAGTATTACAAAGATATTTACGAACATTTTTCATACCTAGACCAAATTAAATACCCTTTTCTTATAAGATGGGAAGGGAAAGTGCACTTAGCGGCGGAGACGCATAGGAGGGTCTAATATCCTCTTTACGACTATGTACGTCTTCTCCTCCGTCGATTAAGGGTAGGCAACTCATCAGCAGCGGTTGCTTCTCGATTTTGGCGGATTCAGGTGGTCCCTTGCTCGTTTGCCACCTTATATTATAACAAAATACTCTTGGTTAGACTATAATTATTTATACTCTGTTGTAATTGTACGTAAGCTTGAACATGTTATTGTTTTAAAGCACAATTTTCTTGATTATGTATTATTTGTTTTATCAGGTGCGTCACAATACTTTTCGTCTAACACCTGTTTTAATATAGTGTGACATTGATTCAACGACATATTACACAAGAAGTATCCCAGTAATTATACGAGTACTATGGCAAAAGTGTATGACGGTAGAAGTGTGGATGGACAAATGACGTTAGAAGATTTTTTTAAGTTAACCAATTATTCTATACTTAATATTATAAAGAGGAAATATTTGCATTTTTGTATGCATCGAAATAACTCAAAAACAAATGGGCCGACTTTAAAAGTTCTTTCACCATTAGAAAGGTAATTTATCTGTGAGTAACACAGACTACGTTTTTTAGTTTCACGCGGGCGAAGTCAGGAGCAACAGCTAGTCCTTTATACAAAGATACGCTTTACAACTTACCATAGGCGTAGCTTGCCGATAAGCTAGACAGTTATAGAGGGAGGCACCTTCTCATAAGATGTACTTAATGGTAACTTGGTTAAGATAAAACTGTCATAGAATAAGAAATCTTACTAATATTATATCACGTAAATATAAAAAGACTGTTCGGATATGACTGAAACTGGAACATAAGTATAATGTATTCTGGCGTATAGGCTACTTTAATTACTCCCCAGTAAAATGTAGTTACAGTTTCCATTTTATATTTTGTAGAAAACTCGATAAATCAATTACAAAATGAAGACTAAGACGATTTAGTTATACTCGTCGTTTTGAGAAAGGTTTGATCCGTATAAAAATGGTTAAAAATCCACATTTGTTATGGAGTTTTATCGCCATAAAGCTATATAGTATTTATAAAACACATTTTTAATTACTATAAATTGAAACAGAAAGTAATATCCGATTCGTTTAGGTGAAAGTATGTTTGTACCGTTTTAAACTGGCCTAGAACTAATTACAAAAAAAAATCTGTACGCAGTGTATACGTCTATCGTCGTTTCAATTTTTAACATAACATAAATTGTTTGAAACTTTGGGTACATTTATAACGCTGTTGGTAATATCTAGTGTATTTCTAAAACTCACAGTGACATGGTTATGTAACAATAGATTATTTTGCATATATTTTTTTTTAACTTTACAACTGTACATTTTCAATTCGGATGTCAAAAACCGGACTAACAAGTTTATGATAGTGGCCAAATATTGACATTTAGGTGACATTTAATGATGGCCATCGCTGCGTTAACTGACATTAACATATAACACGTGCAAGTACTAATGTAACGGTAGTTGCGAGTTTTAATTGGATACGCTCTCCGATAATATCTTCCTGAGTTATCGACACATCCTTTTTTAAAACTTTTCATATACTAACTGTTGCTCGCGACTTCACACGCGTTAAATAAAAAAAGTGTAGCCTATGTTACTAACAGATAAATTACCTTTCTGACGGTGAAAGAATTTTTAAAATCGGCCCTGTAGTTTTTGAGTTATTTTTAAATACAAAAATACAAATCTTTCCTCTTTATAATATAGAATGAGAAATAGTCTGATATCGGATGGTCCCCTATACATTTTTTATTTTGTAGTATTACACGAGTGTGGTGTCTGTATTAAATAAGTTTTTTTTATTTATTATCTGTCTTTTTATATTATTTTAGGGGGTATAACAAAATAACAGTCTTGTACATTAAGGCATTTCATAACATTGATTATATTATAGTCACCTATATACAGCGTTATACGAGTATCTTGTTTTAAATGAATATACATACTTGAAACTTGTAAGTACCTTTTGTGCTTTCTTCAATGTTTATTACAGAAATGTTAATAGAAAGTTCAGTATAGCAAAGAGTATCGCGTTATTACTATTCGATTATGCATCATCTTTGCAATTTCTGTTACAAATGCATGGTAAGTCGTGTATATAGAATGTATACTAGATCGTCAGATTAAGCCAGATACCGGCCTTCGATCGCTTACCCGTGCTTACTTATACTTTCACCTTGCTTAGCGCCGTTAGCCCACTTAAATTTAACATTGGTATTGTTCTACTGTCTTACGTAATGTACATTTATATCCACATAGCCAGAAAAAAAAGTTGTCAAATTTTTCGTATAGCATCTTGCATCTTCGATCACAGATTCTAAAGTAAAGTAAAGATAAAAAAAATATACACACCCTTTGAATCGATTCTGGATTAGAGTTATGTTGGTACTACTCTATTTACACATATAATTCTGTTGTCGATGGGTGTTTTATAGCAGTTCTCGATTTTTCAGCTGAGTAAACATACAGAGTATGTGAAACATTTTTATATTGCTTTCTTTGCTTCAAGGTCATTTGGATGTGTCGTTGTATGGACTATGTTTTACCATAGGAGAGTCATGTTTGGGTAAGTTTTTCAGAGGCATGTCCATTATGCGTTTAATGGTATCCGCATGTAATTTGATTCATTATGAAATTGTCATTCTATTTGTGGTCTTTACCAAAGTCTACAAAAACGATTTTAGTTAATGTAGTAATTACGTCCTATTTTTATGAAAGAGAAAGGCTTTTATTGGTATTATGAAAATCAAATTCAGATCTGTTCATGTTACTATTAATTTGAAATGTAAGTGAAATCAAAACCTGTAATGTAATTGTTAAGTTTCGTAAAATTTTCGGGAATAAACTCTTATACACATTTTTGCAATGGACACCGACAATTTTATTTTCCATTTTAGGAAAAGGTCTGAACAATACTAGAAAAAACAGTTAATTAAGGTAATATTGAAGAAAATGATCAAATTTAATCATTATCTAAAGTGCAATTATAAAGTGCATTATAGTGAAGTATTACAAAAATAAATATACAAATCGTAAATAGTTATAGTAAAGTCGTAACGGATTCTTTATTACGTAATACTTTGAGGTCGTAGTTTCATCAATATTCTTGGAAAACGTGGTCGATAAGTGAAGCACAACCGTTTGCAGAACAATTATCTATATCTCATACACAAATAGTTGACGGTATAAACCTACTATTAATACTCAAATTAAAAAAAAATCAAATTAAAAAAAAAAATTAAAACATCTCTCACCATTTTCGAAGGCTTATTATTTTTAATACTGTTGATATTTTCATTTTTATAAAATGTTACTTCAAAGCAAAAATTACGTCATTTCTCAAATATATCTGTCTCTTTGTTACTTGCTTTTCACTTCGAGTACAAAGTATTCAAACAGCCCACGTTATTTTAACCGAGGATTTCCACTGACGAAAAATATATATTGACATCCCATCCCACTTATACACTTTGAAAAATAGAGATAGCAGTATATTTTCTTGCGCGTATCAGTAGAAGCCAACACTAATATTATTTGACGTAGTCTGCGATCAGAGTCTATCACGAATAATTGCGAGAAAGAATTCGACATTTGTTGGTGTTATTTTAGGGGCGCTTCACTATTCTAAAACAAACGTCGATGATGTTACGAAAACGTTCTCACGAGTACTTGCGATAGGCCCCCTGTGATCTATTTTTTTCACTTTCATCCATCAGACTTATTTTTTTTATCAAATCTATCTTTTTCCCAATTGAAAGTGATGTTTATGTTTCACGCATTGCCAGTAACCGAATTATCTAGATAATTATGTAGAGTAACGAGGGTATTCGTTTCGTGTTTTTCCCCAGACTCATTGGGAATTTTCTCTTTTCCTTACGAGTTATCAACTGTTTATTTTATTTATAAAAATTACGGTAATCGTAAAGAAGACTTCCGATTGATTAACGAACGCTATTTATCAACACATGCAAAACTAAATTTGATAAACAGCTGGGCACTATCTTTATCAGATAACGTAAAATTTAACTGGAAAAATTATCGTTTTCTTGATTTTCTTCATATCATAATACTTTAGTTTTCTTAATCAATACTTAATACTATAAAGACAAAATATTTGTATTTTTATATATTCTAAAATAACTAAGAAAAACTAAATGATTTCAATAATTCTTTCACCTTTAAAAAGAAAGATACGTTATCACTGTATAACATTGGCTTTTTTTATTTATTTTTTAATCTCAGACAGCGCGAGCAACGGCTAATTTTTACTAAAATATAAATTTGTCATTGATCAAAGCATTTAAAAAGTATCGATGTATTATTTTTAGTTCTAAAAATAATTTATGAACGTCATTGTAAATAATCAAGTGCAATGTAGTTGCAATCTTAAGTTATTATAAAATACAGACGCCTTGATAAGAGGGGACGGTTCAATGAATAACAACATAATATCGTAAGTCAAGTTTAAAACAAGTTTAACATAGTTTTAAAATCTTACTAATATTATAAATGCGAAAGTTTAGATGGATGGATGTTTGTTCGAACTTGCAACCTAAACAGCTGAACGGATCTCGATGAAATTTGACATGAATGCACAAGATAATCGCAATGCTTTTGTTTCTTTCATTCCACGCGGACGGAGTCGCGAGCGCGAGTATGTAATAATTTTGAAATGCTCTGCAACTTTGTTTTAGTAACAAGATAACACGAACAGTTGAGAGAAGAACAAATGAATTAAAGACATACAAAAGGTAGAGTTGTCTATTTTTACGATTAAACTAATCATTTAATAAAATTGTCATGATGTTAATGCAAAATTAAAAATTGTTTCTCGCTCCTTCAAAGCCAGACATCTAGAATTGTACTTAACACCTACGTAAAAATTCTATTCTCGTGAAGTATGAGAAATAGAGGATTACAATATCTGAGTGTTTTGTTCAACTTAAAAACTCAAAGCAAGAGAGGTCTGAACAAACAATATGCTATACATTACATACTAATTTAAATTTGAAAAGGAAAATTAAAACAAAATAATATAATGTACAATTAGTATATATTTCTTGATAACTGTATATAGTACATATGTATACTACATACGTTTGAAAGAATTTACATTAACTTACAAAACAAAAAACTCGCACGTAAGTCAACCTTCGATCAATTGTGTAAAATGTTATAAAATTATTAGTACTTATGTAAACTGTACGTGCTTTTGTGTAAAAAATTAAATACGGTTGTAATTACACAGAACACGTTCAAGAAATGTTTCTAAATTGACTTCAATCTCGATTAACATGTATACCAACCTATACCTATGGTAAAGGATGTGATAATGGTCAGCATCCGGTAAATAAAAGCCAAATGCCAAACTAAGGGGCTGTCTCACCAAATTTTAAACTGTCTGATAACAGATTTGTTACTTTATATGACAGTTACGTCATTTTTAAGGTATCCGAGTCTCAATCAGCCAGTGGTGGGACAAGCCCTTACTCTTTAAATTATGTACCGGTTAAGATTTAGTTCTAATCAATCGAGCATTAAGTTAAGAACTATTAGTTTAGATTGCCCATGTAATGCTCGCTGAGGGAAATTTCGCAACGACCTTAAAAACAATAAGAAAATAAAATTGTCTTATGCTTTTATATTTGCCATATACTTTTAATGGACAGGTGAAGCAAGTAGATATACTAGAACATTTCACTATGACCTGCGAACATTATTAACACGTATTTAAGTAAAAATAATAAATGATGCCCCTTGCATAATTATCTTTAAAATTGTGAATTATCGTACATGACATTAAGGAATACCCAAATCGACTGCGCAATTTACATTTTCTATGCTAAGCTAATGTTAATTTAAAAATATGTGTCAAAAATTTCCATGCATATTTTATTACCCACTTGATTTATGACAATATTTAAACCTATAGATAATATTATCGCATAATAAATTAACGCGCACTGAACTTAATCATTATCTATGTACTCGCGAAAACATTGTAAAATTATAAGAAAATGTAAAAACAATTCTCTGTAGAGTCTAGAAATTAATAAGTTCCATGTTGCTGTATTTGTTTTTAAAATGCACGTTATACCTTTGTAGAATTGAAAACAAGAAACACTTTAGAATGACCTTTGCAATAATAATAAAGAAATTTATTATGCAACCATCGCTTTAAATTTTAAATTCGTCATGTATTTTTTCAATGTTATGCATAGATGCAAAATTCACTTTCGCTTACCGCGCATTCATTTATTTATATCCTTATAAGATTTGAATATTATTTATCAACGGAATTAAATAAACAACTTTCGAAGTGTAACAAAAGTTTTGTCAAGCAATACACGTAGTTTAACAAAGAATTTGCCTTTCACTTAGCATTCAAAACTGACACGTATAGATCCTTTTTTGTTTCCGTGGAAGACTTACCTTAGACTCGGTGATGTGAGCACAGGAACGGAAGAGGAAACCCCAAAACAATTAATTCACAATGTTATCATAGTTACGGGATATCGTAACGAAAGTGATTCGCTAGTTAAGTGAGTGTTTTTGAGTACGTGTAAGTAGGGGCGCGCGGGCGCGGCGCGTGCTCTCGCGGCGACTGTCCGACTGCTTTTGATAGACTGGATCTGAACTGAACTGGAGTGAGGCTGGCGTCTGACGCGGCAGAGTCTGACGCGCATCTTGCTACTTACACTGTCTCATATTCCTGGAAACGCATCCCGCATTGCTTCAAACGCGCCCTCTATCATTGATTACTTACCTACGTTAATTTTTATTTGACACTGCCGTCTATCGACATTATTGATGTTTTATTTCAAGGCCGTGCGTAACAATGCGCAGAATATATGTATGTGCATTAATACGATAAAAAGTTTGTGTCAATGTTTATGCCTAATCCGAGTAGGTAGTTGTAGTAATCTTTAACATTGGAGGGACATTCTCAGTTAGCGAATCCTTTACCTTCCTTCACTAAAACTTCTTCTGTCATTTATTTGCAAAAGCTATAAAGTTCAAGTAGTATGTTTGAGTAGTATAAACTATACGACAGTGCACTACATAGTACATATTACCTGAATGCTTGCGCCTACAGTTTAAATACCGCAATTTTACTTGATTGAAAAATAACAAATAGCGAAATTGTTTTTTGCTTGGAGGTTGCGTGGCTTCGTGCACTGTCGTATTCGAAATATATTGTATGTCATTACGGGTAAATAGTAACATTGTGATGCTAAGAGACCTGTTGCAGGTTTGGCCGACGACGCCGATAAGCAACAAGTGTCGGTAAAACAAAGTCAAGGTCTTTCCCACCTTCGTAAAATCAGCTAATTTTGACCACTTCAGGAAGGAAACACTTATTCTCTGAGTCATCTTTTATTTAGCTCATCGGTTTAGGTATCAAGTACTTTGGGGTAGAATAATTAAGTTAAGCAATTTTTCTCTTAGTATTTCTGAATTCTGAATCTAGATTCCTATTAATAGTTTGATAATGCTTATCCGTTTTTACACGACTATGACATAAGTGAGCTGGAGATCCTGTAAATTAAATAAAATAAAATGAAAGAAAAAGGCCAGGCATAGTCAGAGCGGGTCGTTGTAAATAATAAAATCTAATCATAATTTATCATCATATTTAATCTGTTAATTTCATTAAAAAGCAACTGGTACGCAAAGAGTAGATAAGATAATTGCAAAACGCGGTAGACTTTATGTACGGATTCTGATTTAATAAGATTAATACATTATTCAAAATCCTTGCAAAAAAAAATGTAATTTAACACAAGTTTCAATGATAGCAGTTATAAATTTAATTTTGTCTGGATCCGACACTAACTCGTACCAAGGCTTGGTACATCAAGACCTGTGGTACGCTACCCGCACGAGATCCATCCCTCCACTGAAGGGTCGACGGAGATAGGGATTCACGAGGATTGACCTTTTCCTGCAAACAAATACTATTCTTATACTGCGGATACTGTAGTTGGCATTGGCAAATTATTGTTAATATATATTTACTCCTTATTTATTGTCAAGTATTGGTTGTTACCAATACTACCTTGTCTGTTGACAAGGTTGGCTGCACAGACTAGATGTATGGATATAGAAGCGGTATACACGGATCGCTAAGTGTAAATTAGTAACCTCACTCCACCCCTTTATGGTACGAATTTGATATGTTTACTTTCGTTTTTGTTTATATTGGGGACGTACACCAGGCTCTGACAGGACCAGTTAGTACAAATAAATCTAATAAATATCAATTATTGTCTTAAAACAATAATAACACTAGTTCAGTAGCGTTGGTATTTACGCATTAATAGAAGGTTTACGAAAAAAACATCTAACATATTTTAATTAGTTAATAAAAATATGTTAACGAAAGTAAATATAAGGACGTGTTAATCTATTGGAAAAATGCGAATACCAAAACATATAAAATGCAGATTAGAGTTTAAAAAAATGTACAAACCATTTCCTTGTTCTTTAAAGTGAAAATAATAGACAAAACAATAAATACCAAATTTAGTATTAGTATCACTATTGCAGAAATAAAGAACGCATTTTGTATAGCCAAAGAACAACACATTTTAAAACATAGATAAATTCACAATTTTTTTCCACAAGCAATGCGTGCTGACAGAACAGAACTTAGGAATATATGGTACAAATTATATCAAAACAGAATTTTATCGTTGCTTAGCTTTGATAACTTGCAATGTATTTATGCATATCTGTATTGTTAATTACGGAATCTTTACCTAATCACAATCTTAATTCACGGTTGTTCAGACCGGTGTATCGATTGCGTACAGATTGACATTCTTATTACGTAATAGCTGGTATGAAAATAATATTTTGTAGTTTTATTTTTGAGTGTAGAGGTACACCGGTAGATGTAAACATATAAAGATATGGATTTATTCCTTGAAAGGTGATATAATCAAGAAGAGAGTGGTGACTGAGATGACGCATGATAAGTTTTTTGGAGGACGACAACCCACGCCCTGACCTTACGGGATTAGGATAAGGTAGGGGAAATGGTGAGTTTTACAGAGCCGTGCTTCGACTATGTAGTTCTTCTGACTGACCTGGTCACAGATGACACTTTTTCCACGGCCCATACCAAGTATTTTAGTTTATTGACAACCGTTATTTTTGCTACACGTCTATTTCCTTTTACTTGATGTTTAAGTACAAAGGAAAAAATTAATTTCAGTTTAATCTTAGACTTTAATACGCTGCTAGATTTGTTCTTTCATTGTACAGTTTAATTCTTAAATAATAAAGTAAGATTTCATGCATTAATAATAAATCTTATCTTAACAATTGTTCTCTTTGAAAGATTTGATATTATCAGGACGCTTAGGTACAAGGATTCTCCGATAAAATTAATTTAGAAAACACGGTTTAGTTTTGTAAACATAAATCTAATGTCAGTTTAGTGCCACTGCGTTTAATTTACAACATTTGGACCTGGAATTTGCCTAGCTCGTAGGTGATGGGGTAAGCCATTTTAATAATTGTCTTCCACATTCTTTCATCTTAAAAAGATGTTATTTTTCTATAATTTATACAAGTTACAATATGTTGTCTTAAATTTTTAAGATTTTTGGAGTTACGAATTCCATCTTGTAATTCTTCGACGTAAATAATGAACGCTGTACTGAGTAGTGAGCACTTGTTCTAATATTTGGTGAGGGGGAAACCACTTTAATGTGGCATACACAAGTCGCCTTGCAGACAATGAACGAATGTCATTACGGGGCCGCGGCCGCCGGCGCTGTTGAACGCAATCGAATTCACTAACAAGGTAAGACTTAAGAAAGAAAAAGACACGGCAAATTGAAATTTATTTATTTACTTACATTTATTTATCTATACAAATGTATCGAAGATTTTAAATAATCGAATATGTGATGGAAAAATTATAAAAAAAACATGTTATCTACGCTTACAATGTTCCTCAATTTGACTGATGATCTGATGATTATATCAATAGAAATATGAACATATCGCTGTGATTCGATAAAAATATGATAAGAAGATATCGTGACTAAGCACCTATTATACAGATATAGGTAGTATAAAAATACTAATAAAAATAAACTACGTATGGTTGCATAGATGACCTCTCAAGGTCGTGGGAGGAAACATCTATATAATAAATTTATATAAGTATCTATATAATTAAAATTTTAGATAACTCTTCTTCTAGCTTGCAGCTCTGCCTTGCAGAATCTCTAAATTTGCTATAATTACCATCCTGTTTGCCTATCAAACAAAAATCTCCATAGATTTAAATTTAAAGTATTTTGTCTTTCTTCGCCTATTTTAAGTACAGTATTTATTATCTTACTCGTGTATTATCTACTTAGATAATACTTAAAGTTATTTTAGACATATGATACAACGCGAGGCTTAAAATCAATTTAGAAACACACCACCAAACACATCAAGTCTAGACTGTCCGTTCTAATAGATTCTATTGCTTTCGGTGGCCGAGAAGTCGGTTTCGATAAAAAAAACAACACAGCCAGTTAGGCTGTTACTGTAAGTCGAAGTAGTGTAGTTCTTTTATTCAACTGATAGTGTGGTAAAAGTGGTCGTGGAAAACTATTAAAATTACAAGCTAATTTGGATACACTATGACGTATGCATTTATAATAGTGGTGTCAGTGGCCGTAACTTTAAAGTTATTGTTTCTAAGTTTCTCATTGTACGTAACACTCAATGATCCAGAACTAAAAATGGAGGTGAGTATTTCATGTTCACATTTAAGTATTTTATTATTCCTAAGAATTAATATCATTACTAATAACCCAAGTCATTTAACTTTAGGAGTATCGTGTTACTTATTTATTGTGATGTCATAAAAGCATTAAAGAGAAATTCTAAGATCATACCTTTCTAAAATTCTTTTAGAAATACTATCTGACTAGAATTTCCAACGTATTAAAATTTAAACTAAGTAATTTCGAGATTACATTTATCATTAAACTATTTATATGCTTTACGTATTTCAGAAAGATCCGAAGATCAAAACCGACAACACAACATGCATGGCGTCCAAGTGGAAACAAGTTTCGCAAGTTTTTTTTTGTAAAACGTCACGTAGCAAGATGAATAAAAATGTTAAATTGGGATCATGATTACAACAAGTTTTGTAATGCACTAATTACATTATTTTTTTAACACCAAAAACCAGTTTAAAGCCTCAACGTATAACTGTTAATATTTTATTTTCAGATGTATATTTAATGCGGTTCGGGATAACTTGACAATTTAAATGATGTGATATCTATTAAAATATATGATTTGTACATAGAGTTATAGAAGTGCTTTTGTTTTTCCTGGTAAATAGGAACTTCCTCTTGCGTGTAGATCATTGCAATCGTTAACATGCAATACTCGCAAACAATCGACTTCGACTTTTAAGTCAACCGAAATTTATGTGTTACATTATACAATTGTTAACGAATTTTGGGAGGGTATGGGAAATGACTCCATCAAAATACGAAACTTTTACGAAACTACATTAGGAAAACGACATCTGTACAATCCGGTGCTATTTTTGCTATATCTCCACTGTTGTATAGATTATGTAAACAATCAACTTTTACGTTCTCTAATTTTCTATTGCAACTAATTAGTTTGAAAATAGAGAAGTGTATGTATGAAAAGAAATTCTCTCGCTAACGTCGATGTATTTATTTTCATCTTCTAGTAAGATTGTCTATCGTCGCAGTCCATAGTTTCCATTAATATTGTAAAGATTTTTTTTTATTTCGATGTAATAAAACTATTTTTAAAAATAAAGTATTTTAAGTTGTTTTTTCCAAAACCCTAGTAGATAATACATCCGGTGTAATCCGTGTAATCATTGTAAAAATATAATTCTACTTGTAAGATAAAACGTCATTATCAGCAGATTTCCGTCCTCGATCAAATAATTTATAAGCAAAATTCTTCCTTGGAATTGGTTCCAAGAACAGCGAAGAGTAAGCTATTGTCCGCGAGTACATCCGCGTGAAATTGAAAAAATACAAAAGTAGCTATGTGTTCCAAGTTCCAGACCACTACTCTAACACACATAGATCCATCCATCCAAACTTTCACGTTTATATTATTAGTAATAGTAAAAAAGAAAACATTAAAAAATAACATAAAAATATATTTTCATTTAACAATTGTATAAAAACAAAACATATTGTACTTAGTTTTATTTTACAAAAATATTTATTTGTAATCACAATCATTTACAGTTAAATATGTCATTTCTCTTGTGAACTGTGACCATTTCACGGTTTTCTTCTCTAAATCTAACCTCATTTTTTTCTTTTTATAGTCATTCGCTTTTTGTACTATGATACGATTGAATTGGTGTACATGGGGATGATTTAAATATTCCTCTATAAACATCCATTTACACTCTTTGACTTCTCTGTGAGATAGAACTATATTTTCTGTGAGCGCTTTCATCATAAGTAGCATGTATATGTCAGAGTTATTGTACATCATATTGTGCTGGTGTCTGAATGTCAACAAAGAGACAAATGTGCAATCAACTCCCGTCTCCTCCTTCACTTCTCTAACTGCTGCATCTTTTATATCTTCACCTAAAAACAATTCAAAAATGCATATATTGGAGCTACATTTTTTTTTATTTTAATAATGGTAAGCCTATTTTTGTTTCAATTGTTTCGCCAACATCCTGGTTGATGATATTTTAAAGTATAAACAAGATTTAAAAATTAAATAGAAAATAGAACAGATCTCTCTTTAGTGTACAATTGTGATTAATCCTGATGTCAACTGGTTTTTTTTATAATAAATGTTTAAATATGTCACTAACATACTTATTGACAGTTTTATACAATTAAATAAATCTTTTAAACAAATTTTGCAAAGGCAATACTTTGATTTTTCGGTACATTTGTATTTTATACCTGTTGACTGCTACATACATAACATATTTGACTAGCTTATATTTGAAACTACATGCGGAATTAAAAAGAATTAGTAGATCTGGTATATACTAAAATTATAAAGTGGAAAACTTTGTTTGATTATAATGAATAGGCTCAAAAACTACTGGGCTGATTTTAAAAAATTCTTTCACTGTTATAAAGGTTATTTATCTGTGTGTAACATAGGCTATAATTTTTAATGTCTTTATTATTAGTTTTAAATTTCATACAGACAGAGTCATGGTCAAAAGCTAGTAAAAATATTGCCATTGTCAAATGTAGACAATGTTGCATTCTATTGGTAAAAAAAGTAGTTTTAAAGTTAATTCACAGAAAAATAAATATTTTCAATGTTACTATGAATTAGTTGCCATTCAACAAAATTTTCTGTGTGTTAATTCTCACCTCTCTCTACATATCCACCTGGGAGTTTCCAATGTGGGTATTCATAATGTTTTTCTGATATAGCCAAAAGTTGATTCTTGTCATTGAACACTAAAGCACCAACTCCCAAATTGGTATGACAAGCCGGAGGCAGGTTAGGTTCAGTGTCACCTGGTAGCCATTTATACATCATCACAAAGTCGTCTCTTGCATGATGAAAATTAAAACCTTTCTATGGACATAATAAAAAATATTTGAACATACACTTATGTAAGATTTGAAGCAAATAAAAAAGCTATAATTTCTCATTTTTATGTAAATTACCTCTGCCAGTATTGGAACATAGAAGCAATCTTTTATGTTAACTTTAAACCAAACACATCTCTTTCCTTCAGAAGACCATTTCTGCATTGAAGCTGAAATTGAATAAATTAGGTTTTTTCAAAATGCCAAATAATAAAAATGCCAAATTAATTAATGTTTATATTTTAATACCTTCAAGATTTTTTGTTATGTGTTTTCTTTCACAATGCTCTAATGCAGTATTTACTGTTATTCCATTAAATCTATCCTGTTTACCAACAAAAAGATAATCTGTTTGAAGTTTGCTATTATTACAACATTTTCTGAAAATACACATATATTTAAATCATCATAAATAACTCTTAAAACATTAAAAAAATTACAAGGCTATATATTCTAGATATTACCTAAATGGTATGAAAGAATATCTTATCACATTTCTATATAAAAAGGACACTTTACATAGTTTATTTACAGGCATGTTGTTTAAAAAAATAACATTTTAGCTATAAATAATAGTCATTATTTTGCGTCGGCGACCTTAATGTAAAAAATAAAAAGGGAAATTAAAATAAACCAAAATAGGAAGTTATAAACACAGACAAAACCATTAAAATGTCATTTTGACTTTTTGACATTTGTCATTTAGTGTTTTGACACTCTGTGGTCTTGTGAATTTTTAAACTTGAAATAAAGAATCTTGCTTTTAAAGACTTTTTAACAATCGTATACAAGCCTAAATGTTCGTTTACGTTTAAAACAAAGTGCTGTCTGTGTTAGAACTGGAAATGCAAAACGCTTAAAAGTTCAATGAATAGTTTTTTTTTTATACATCGAACACTTGACCGCAGAGTATATATTGTTATATAGACTGTAAACTGGCAATGACAGTTGAGAGACATTGGACAGTGACATCATCATCACCATCATCATCATCAATTATAACAACAGCCTTTGCCTGACCACTGATGGACATAGGCCTTCACCAATGCCTTCCGCAGAAGACGGGTGACATCAGTGAACGGTCAATGTTGACATATTATGATTTGATGGTTCTGATCTGACAGTATCAGAATGTGACAAAAATATAAAATGAAAATGATATTGGATTGATAAGTTTGTTAAAATGAGATAGATCAATTTCTAATCATTGTCTTAATATGAAGGTACAAAAACGTAGTTAGGTAGTAATTTATTCGACGTTTGAAGGGCTTGTGGGACACATTTCAATGTGTTTCTTATATACTTAAATGTTTTATGGAGTTATGCAAAACTAAAAAAAAAACTAGTCATTGTGATAAGGAATATAACTGCGTACAGACATTGAACCTTGACTTGACGATACATTACTTTTGTAATATTTACATTATTATTACTTCATGGTCTTAAAAACTGTCTGTGTAATACCACTGATAATTGACAAAAGAGAATGGCTACAAAAACGTTTGAAGGTGTTTTAGATAGATATAATGGTATCACAGTTGATTCTCAAAAGGAACCATGTGAATCCAGTGATTTTCTTAGTAAACTAACAGGCAAGTTTTACAAAAAATTACATTCATCTTCAAAACAAGAAGTTCTTTAAATCTGCTCTTTTATCCAGCCTGGTTTTCTTTTTTTTCCAAGGTTATGTTAGTAAAATATTTTTTTTCAGACTCTCTGCGGAAATGGGATAGTGAAGAAAGAAGATGCATTTGGTTCAAAATAAATATAAAAGATGCTGCTTGGATTCCTATACTAGCTAATGTGAGAATTGATTTTTGGTTTACAGTACTTTAATGAGATATATTCATTTAACTTAATAGTTTACTGAATGTCATACAATTTAAAAAATCCTTAATGTTGTGTACACCCAGTTGTAATCCATAGATATTTAGTGTCTAAACATATCTTGTGTAAGATATCAGTTGTAAGAGTAAATAGTACATCAAATGGAATATGTATATCTGTAAAGTCTATTTTTTAACAAACTGGCAGATAAATTAACACTTTTTAAAATAACTTACAAAATTAGGAATATGTAAAAATTGAGTTATTGGAATTAATTTATAATAAATAATTATATATTTCTATATTAATTTTCAGGAAGGTTTTGATTTTCATCAATCAGGCCAGAGTTTTGTAACAATGTACAAATGGTTACCAAAAAACAGTACATCAAACTTACCGCCAATATGTCACACTAGTATAGGTGTGGGTGGCTTAGTATATAATAATAACAATCAAATATTAGTTGTTATGGAACAACTTTATGACTACCCACACTGGAAGCTGCCTGGTGGATATGTAGAAAAAGGTATTATAAAAGATAATCAATAAAGCATCAATAAGACATTTAGTAAAATGATAAAATATATACGAAAATGTGTATTGATTTTTTTAATACATTTCAACCTTATAAGTGGTTTTATTACTTTTATAATAAAACATTGGTAATTTTAAGTTCAATGTTTTTCAGGGGAAGATATAAAAGATGCTGCAGTGAGAGAGGTGAAAGAAGAAACAGGTATTGATGCTGTTTTTGAATCCATGATAACTTTGAGACAAACACATAAAATGTTGTTTGGTAACTCTGATATATACATAGTTGTATCTCTGAAAGCTACGTCTGATGTAATCACAAAATCAGATGATGAAATCAAAGATTGTAAATGGATGGATATAGAAGAATTCTTAGAACATCCTCATGTACATGAATTCAACAGGTTTATTGTAAAACAAGCATTGGATCTGAAGGAAAGAAAACTTAAACTATCTCTTAAAAAGAGTAAAGTGAAGATATCAAAGTTTTCGAGAGAAATCACTTCTCTAATAATTGATGACCTGTGATTATTCATGCTCTGAGCCCCATGGTGGAGATGTGAGCGGATGACAATTATTTAATTAACAGTTTTTAAATAGCTTATAGAAAATATTAAATTCTGGGTAAAGGGATAAAGTTGAAAAGAAAAAAAAATGTTTCCAAAATAAAAACACACATTGGCTTAAATCAAATAATGCAATTTTAACTTAAACTATATGAAATTATTTATGAAAAAAAATATATGTCTAGAAGGTGTTTTGTTTTTTATTTTGCCACCCAAACCATGACATGTAAAGCATACTAAGAGCAGCAAAACAAACTATTTAATTATGTTATTTGATATTTTTATTATTTTCCTCACAAAAATCATTACATTTATACACAAATTTAGCATAGATATTTAAAAATTGTAGAAAGGTGACATTTATAACTATATAAAAATTTAGATAATTCATCCAAGTATATTTCTAACCTAATAAACCGTACAAACCACCCAATCCCACAAGAATAAATTATTAACAAGGAATTAAATGTGTTGCAAAATATTTCAATTACATTTATAAATTAAGCAAATGTTTAACAAAATTACTTCTATTCTTAACAAAAATGTACATCATAATGCAATTATTACAACTTGAATTACTTCTATGTACAAAACTAGAATAGACAAGTTTTAACAGCCTTACAAATAAACGCGGTATAAAGTTAAACTTTGAAATAAACTGTGTATAAGCAAAATTTGTACTAATATTTTGCTTATACCCAGTTTATTCCTAAGTTTAACTTTATACCGCGTTTATTTCTAAAGCTGTAATTGTGTAAACATAATATAAAGATAATGAACATTTAAGCTATTTCGTGTTTTAATACATTCAGTGCCACTAACTTCGTGTATGCTTGCTCAGACAGAGCAGAGATTTTTTTTATCGCAAATATATTTTACGATTAAAATGATGCTTAATTTAACTTTGACTGAAGAGATTATAATTTGACAGTTACACATGTAATTAAGACCTAAAAGGTCTGATGAAGTATCTTAAAAATGTAGTCATGTAATTGATAGAAACTTTTTTCATGAAATCTAATTTAATGAACAACACCGAAAGCTAAAACTTTATCTTGACTTAATTTTTAATTTATCTAGAACACACTTAATCCAATTCCGGAGCCGTTGGCCTAGAATTTTGGTTGTCAGTTTCATCGTCAGAACTGTCTAGATCTCCTATGATTGTCTTTAGCAATCCACCAAACATTGAGTTTTCATTCTTATTGTTCTTCCGATTGTCTATACCGAACCACACCCGGCCAATGTTGTCCAAGTAATCAGAATAATTTGAATCTCTGCTTAAGCTTATGTCATAGCATTTTCTTAAGATTTCAAATTGAACAGTGTTTTTTCTGAAAACATTTAGAACATTTTATGATTACATAATAGTCTAAATAGCTTTTGGTTCTTACTGATATTGTTATTGTTAAAAATAAAGCACAATATATAAATTTTTTATTTAGTTGTTAAAGCACCTTTCTTACAATATTACCATACAACTCCTTAAGTTTTAAGTTATGAAGGATCTATGTTGTAGAGGTTTTGGGCTCTGATGGGAAGGGAACATATTATTTTTTGAAGTTATAGAGGTTTTTAAGTTATCAAGGTTCTATTGTGTATGATGAAAATATAATATTGTTCAATACTTACTGTTCAATTGATTGTAGTAAAAACCATAAAAAGTTAAGTAAAGGATATTTGTATGGTGGGCCTGTATCATTTTTTATACTAGGATGTGAACTAGTATAGTTTTTGAAGGTTTCTCTTGCCATTTGGATGTTTTTCAAGCAAAGAATTTGTAATACTGCCTGTGCTATAAACAGATCAATCTCTGCTTTAAGTCCCCTCGTCGATTGTAATTCTATCAGCATATTAGCATACACTGTCCCATTATTTGAATGTAAGAAATGCTTATGTGCTACAGGATATCTTTTCTCTTTCCAGTAAATTTCTGCAATTTTCTGTAATCATCAATTGTTCTTTGTAAAACATTAAAAATAAAATATTAAGATTTAGATCTGATAAGATGAAATCTTAACAAGTTAATAAGTTTACAACCTTTCATCCTTATTTGATCTCTTTAAACACAGATGGACTGCAATTGTACCAAATTACATCAGTAATCACAAAAAGAATTATAAGGAAATTATTATAAATCGTAAAATATTTAACAATTCACACACCAATACAACTTGTTCAAGATTTAAAAAATCACACTTTACATGCACCTTAGGACAGACATGTACATTTACAACTCTATACCGCAGATTCCTTTGTCTAAAAGTTTAGTTGCGATAACAATATTTACAACCAAGTTATTTGTTGTATGCATCATTACTAGACTCCCTGTATACTAATAACAAAGTTAAATTACCTGGTGTAGTAGTGGATGTCCTTTTTTAGTACTATCCATAGACCATTTCACAGCATTTGTTAAGAATGTATCTCTTTCTGGGATACCTGAATGCATTAATTCAAATAGGTTTGCTATTTTTTCAATCCATTCTTCACTAGGTTTTGTTTCAGACTTAGTTAGAACATCTATTAGTAGAATTGCTAAATCGGCACCACTACCCAGTTGATCACGCTTCAGAAGTAACATAGAACCTTCGTATAACAATTTAAATAGATCTTTATATTTCTTCTGACTTAAATATCTGCAACATAGTGAAAATATTGATCACATTCAGGGCACAAAATTTGTATGTTGCACGTAAAAGATTTGATGTTTACCTGAAATACAATGTTCTGTACATTTGATGTGCTTCATAATATTGACCTGCGTTTACTGATGCTTCTAACTTTTCTAATACTCTGCTAACACCTCTTTCTCCTCGTGTGGCCATTGTTATTTTTTTAGAATATATCGGGTTTATTGCAGTCACATTACATATGATAATTTATGACTTACGCCTACATCACAATCTGTCCCACATGTAAAATCGTTTATCATTCATTTAATCCTTCAAGGCAAAATTATCTTTTAAGGATATTACTATTTTAACAATGACTTACGAAATGTCAAAAATTTCGTAAATATGAAAGTAAATGAAAAAGAGCAAAGATCAGACGACGTTCTGCCAAAGAAAGAATTGCTAAAAGTCACATATTTATCGTTCTTAAATTAATAAAACATTAAACATTTTTTACTAAGATTTCTTATTACAACAGTCACTATTTTTTAAACAAAAAATCAATATTCAAAATGTTTACTACGGTATGATACCCTCGCCATGTTCCAGAAACCGACAGAGATTAATCTAAAAATAGTTGTAGTTAGAAATTCAACACAACAATTTATCTTCTATTGTAATTTTGTATTGTACTGTAATTTAACATTGGATTTCTGGAGCGTCGCGTATGAGGATAAAAAATATATTCGACTCGAATGTTCATTGATATGGAAGTAGAGCGTGCTTAGCACAGCCCGACGAGTATTCGAGTACATATCTGCTGGCATCGCTAAGAGTTTCTAAATAATTTAATAAATGAACTTAAACAATTGATGAATCTTATGTTTTGATATGTATTTCATATGACTACTATTGCTTGTAATTAAGGGTTAATGTAAGCTATATGATATTATAAAGAGGAAAAATATGTATTTCTTTATGTAACAAATAAACTCTAAAACTACTGGACTGATTTCATAAATTGTTTTGTCATTAGAAAGCTATATTATCACTGAGTAACATAGGATATGATTATTAAAAGATTTTTTTAATTGCGCGATTGAATTGCGATCCCTCTTAAAATTAATGGGACATGTGGTTTTGTGACGACAATTTTGGTGAATGCGATGTATCCATTCTGTATTTAAAGCATCAATTCTTATAAGAAATATTTTTAACTGTAGCCACGTTTTGTCTCAGAATTAAAAGTAAAGACTTTGTTTTATTCCATAGCTTTATCCTATAGCATTGTATTGACGGTTTCGTGTCGTCGAATCTTTTCAGTGAAATACAATAACTTTATTTTGATCTTTATGTACAATGTATCCGTTACCATTCATTGTGGATTTCATTGTACTCATAGTTTGATATCTTTTAATATTTCTATACTATATCGATAGAAAAAGCAATTATTACTTTTCAAAGCTTTTAAAGATAAAAAAACACATGACGATGAAAGATAGTATACTAGTAGTCTAAAGTTGTTTTAGTTGAATTTACTTTCCGTCTTGTTATTGCCGAGTAGAATAATTTTCACTTAAATAAATAGTTCGGATATGAAGTTATTATAACATTTATACTATGCTAATGAATGGATAGCTGGTAAACATTCCTTGATTTCGCTATGTTTTATGATAGTCGATTAGTATTATTAGGTTATTGCACACCGACAAGGTTTTATCGTGGGTTTAAATCATAACATTGTATTTACACTATTTCTATCTACATAAGATAATACCTAAAAAATAACTTTTTTCTTTAACAAAAACACATTCATTCAAAAAAATCTTTGTCATTTTAAAGTTAATAACATCCAAAGTAACTAAAGTCCTTTTTCGTATATGACGCAATAATTTTAGCAGCTACAGTAGAGCTGTGTACAAAACAAAAAACAACAGACAACGTAATTGGTTGCTAACAACGGTTGGACAAACTCCAAGCAATGCATTACGCGCAGAGCTCGGACTCAATTTTCCCGCTGTCCAAAATGCACACAATCTGTGCTGTTATTTACTCTGTTACTTTACTTGTCACTAGCTGTTGCTCGCGACTTCGCCTGCGTAAGAATTAAAAAAATAACAAAAAAATAGCCTATGTTACTCGCAGAAAAATTACTTTTCTAATGGTGAAAGAATATTTGTAATCGGGCCAGTAGTTTTTTAGTTTTTTCAATACATACAGAAATCCAAAAATCCAATTATATTATTAGTATAGATTTAATGGCGTTAGTTTTATAGTATCGCGAGGACTTACTACCACACACAAATACTATGGAAAAAAGGATACAATGTGTTTTAATACAGTTAAGTGTAAGGTAATGACTAACTATAAAATTTAGAATAATGACAAAGTTAAAAGTTTAGTTATAACTAATCTAAAAATATATGCCACAGTAACAAACCTTTCTTAAACTAACCGTTTGATGACATTTTTTTTTGTGCTTGTAGTTTAAAGTAGATATGTTTTAGATCCCTTGTAAAGAAGGGCAAATTCGATGAAAATGATACTCGTATTATAAAATGAGAAAGTTAAATGCATAGTCAAATGTTACATGCAATCTTTGGGTTTAAGGTTTCATGCTAGTTTAATTTATTCGAAAAGTTCAGAAGAATCGTTTATAACAGACAAGAGACTCTGGCGTAAAGGGTCGCTGTTCTAAGAATTTATATCCAGCAAAACATTTTGTACAAAAATCTGTGAAAATTTACAAACATTTAACTTAATAGACCATCACATCTATCGACTTATTAATTAGCAATTATAACTTACATTTTAAATATAACGACGAATGTGTAAGATATTCAATACCGACTGGGATTTCGGGATCGGATATCTTTATAATTGTAATTTATTGCCACTTACTAATACCAAGCCAACTTACTACTTGTATAAGTTATGTAAATTATCAGTATCAATGCTTCCCCAATATTCCATCATTGTTTTGATGCGTTTTTTAAGGTTTCTTATTTTTTTTATCTTATAAATATTAGTGAAATAAGAGAGGCTACTAAATGAGACTTAAGATTCTGAAGATGTTACAGGCGTAGCTGTGAAACTAATTTAACTTTAAGTTAACTTCCTCAGGCTTCATCGTAATAGAGTCGCGACTTACAAATCGGAAGTCCCTTACTTAGTTATAACTTAGTTATAATATTTTGTAGAAGTATATTAAATTTCATTATTTTTTTGTAATGCATCGATAGAATAGTACAAACTTAGGTTTACATGAATACGTCAGGCATAGCTTTTACAAAAGCCGCGACTTAAATATTATCAGTAACTAGCAGTCCTTTTTTCTACGAAAAATTTACATTTCATTCCAGACCGAAAGTTTTACTTATCTTATGGCCAGTATCCCAGCTACTTTTTACCGTTCGTTAGTGTTATTGGTTCTGTAAATTCATGAAATCCGTTTCCGAAGTACATAACTTAAGTTTGTCTCCTTCGAAACTTTATCAACCTAACACTAATGAATTAATAGCTAATGACAAAATAAATGAAAACTTCAAAAACCCAGCATTAAACAGGTTATTTTATTTTAATTAAAATAGTTTTTTACCTGTTAGTGCAAGCCCAATTTACCAGAACAGTTTCTGAATTGTGGATAACGATGTGATTATCCATTCAATTGTTCGTTACGATTTACTTTAAAAGTATTTGTCGTTGTGGTCCGAGCGTGGAGCGATACCCGAAATAAACGATGGTAATGATATTATGTTGATCTCAATTTTATCAAATACGAGCTTTCACCCGCGACTCCGTCCTCGTGGAATTAAATAAAAAAGAACAGTGAGTAGCCTATGTGTTCTTCCAGACTATCCTCTACATCTATACCAAATTTTATCGAAATCCGTTCAGCCGTTTAGGCTACAAACTCTAACAAACATCCATCCATCTAAACTTTCGCATTTATAATATTAGCTAACATTAGTATGATTATTACTAAATCAAAAATGCACTTCACACATGCAAATTAAATGATACTTCAGCATATTGTCATTATTGGAATAAATACTGTGTTTGATATAGTTATTGATATTCTTTATTGTTAGAAGTTTTAGAAATTAAAACTGTAAATCTGTTTTAGTTTTAATAAAAATTCTATTATAATGGTCATACATAGAAATAATGTTTACAAAGTTACACAGCCGTTCTCACCTACGAAAGAAACTCTACAAATATGAACGGTTTTGAATTATTTAATATTTCGCTAATTACTCAGGAATTTTTAAATATAAGAGAAAAGATGCATTTTTAATTTTTACGTAAAATTCATACAAATTTCACCCTTGTAAAATATAGAGAAAAATGTTTCGTTTTTTTTTAATTCCAGAGAGTTCGCGGTAGGGCGAAGGCAACATGAAACGCGGTTCAGTTTCATGACATAGTTAAATACTTTGTGATATGAACACAATGCTGGGAGGCAGACTCTTTGTAACTGTTTGGTACAAACATGTGCTAGTTTTAGATTAATATATATGGTGGACATTGTGCGAGTCCGAATAAACATCCGAAATCCGCATAAAATGCTAACGTTACGTAAGGAAATAATAAAAAATGAACAATCAAGCACTATGAATAACAGAAAAATGATTAACGGAGATTGAAACAAAATAGAATGGACAAAAAGGAAGGGTGTGTACTTTCCTTGTGAGAAGCTGATACAAGTCGCTAGTTCGCAATAAAATTTCCACTTAAATGTTCGAGATTATCCACGAAGGGATTGCTAATGGACGTTGCCAGCTTTCAAGTCAAGAGCTTTTGTTGTGAAGTTTCGGCCGGATCCATCGGTTCGACCAAACTTGTTAGAACTTAACCTACAACTTTCATCTTAATGCCAGGAGATTGACTATACAATCGATATTTGCTTTTAGATTTAGATAGACTTATTGAACATCATTAAAATATTTTAAAGAATAGTTCAGAAACAGGTGGTCGCAAAGATTTCTTTAATAAGAAGTACATACTAAGGTTTTCAATAAGTATAACTAATGTTCAAAATGCTTTAATTCAAGGATATATTTATGTCATTCGTGATAACATGATTTTAATAAACGAAAATCCAGATACATGCAAAAGTTAAAAATTTAAAAACCATAATAATATTTTAAGGTTTTAACGCTAAAAATGTTACCGTTTCTTAGCGCGTTTTTATTTATCCTAGTTCTATTACGAAGTTTATTTAACGACTAGCTTATGCCCGCGACTCCGTCCGCGTGAAATTTAAAAATAAAAAAAGTAATGAAATTATACAGACTGTGTTACAGATAAACTACCTTTCTAACGGTGGACGGATTTTTTGAAAACGGTCGGTTTTTGAGCCTATTCATTACAATCAAACACACAAAATTATCCTCTTTATAATATTAGTATAGATATTGGTTAACATTTTCAA